CCAACATGACAAAACAGGAAAATGATAAATGTTGGAGAAGATGTGGGAAAATTGGAACACTAATGCATTGTTGGTGGAGTTGTGAAATGATCCAACCATTTTGGAGAGCAATTTGGAACTATGCCCAAAGGGCTATAAAAATGTGCATACCCTTTGACCCAGCAATAGCACTTCTAGGGCTGTATCCCAAAGAGAGCATACAAATGGGAAACCCACATGTACAAAAATATTTATAGCAGCTCTTTTTGTGGTGGCAAAGAACTGGAAATTGAGAGGATGCCCATCAATTAGGGAATGGCTGAACAAGTTGTGGTATATGAATGTAATGGAATACTATTGTGCTATAAGAAATGATGAGCAGGCTGACTTCAGAAAAACCTGGAAAGATTTGTATGGTCTCATGCTGAGTGAAGTAAGCAGAACCAGAAGAATGTTGTACATAGTAATAACCACGTTGTGCGATGACTAATACTGATAGACTTAACCTTTCTCAGCAATACAAGGATCTGAGACATCTCCAAAAGCCTCACGATGGAAAATGCTATCCACATCCAAAGAAAGAACTATGGAGTTTGAATGCAGATTGAAGCATACTTTTGCTATTTTTTTCTTCTGTTGTGTTTTGTTTCCTCTTTCTGGTGGTTCCTTCTATTGGTTCTAATTCTTCCTTACAACATCACTAATGTGAAATTATGTTTAATAGGAATGTATATGTATAGCCTATATCAGATTGTGCATCATCTTGGGGTGGGAGGTAGGGAAGGAGGGGGAGAAAAATTTAAAACTCAAAAGCTTATGGAAGTGATTGTTGATAAATCAAAATTAATTAATTAAAAAAAAGAAATACCAAACTCAGAACATCCAAGAATGTCATAACCAAAATCCAGAACTTCCAGATTAAAGGGGGAAAATACTGCAAGCAGGCAGAAATAAAGAGTTTGAATATCAAGGAATCAAAGAAGTCAAAATCTTGGACTTTGAGATACTCTAAAAGGCAATGAAAAAAAAGATAAAAACTTACAACTACAAGTTGTACACCTGAAAGACAATATAATTCTATAGGGGGAAAATGGATCTTTAACAGGTCTTTTAAGCATTCCTGATGAAAAGATCTAGAGAGGAATAGAAATTTTGAAATGCAATCATAAGACTTGAGAGGAACCTAGTGGGGTAGTTACATTTGAAGAACTGGAAGAAACTGAGGATGATCTACTTACATCCTAATGGGGAAAGAAGAAAAAGTGCCCCTTCAGAACCACACTTTCTCCAAAGGTGACAAAGGGAGTTAATAAAAAACAAATTCAAGGCCTGGCTGTGGTTTTGTTCCAAATTACTAAATTCTAGGACAGCTAAGTGGCTCAGTGGATAGAGCACTGACCCTAGAGTCAGGAGGACCTGAGTTCAAATCTGACCACAGACACATAATACTCACTAGCTGTGTGACTCTGGTCAAGTCACTTAACCCCAATTGCCTCACAAAAAAAGGAAAAAAAAGGGAAGAGATGTTCATATATAATCTGCTAATAATACAGCAAACCACAAATTATTAAATTCAAAAATGAAAAAGAATTAACAATTGAAGATGGAATAAAGTTATTAGAAATTATTTTGCTCAATCATATGCCAACAAAATTGATAACTTAAAAGAAATGGATGAATACTTAACAAAAATCTAAAATCCCCATATTAACAGAAGAAAAAATAGAGACTTTAAATAACCTAATCTCAGAGAAACTGAACAAACTATAGAGGAAAGGGAAAAAAATCCTGGATTGGAGGGATTCACAAGTTAATTCTTTCAAAAATTCAACAATTAATTCTAACAATATGAAATGTTTGCAAAAACAGGAAAAGAAGGGATCCTTCAAATTCTTTCTATGAAATAAATATTGCCTTGATGTCTAAAAGATATAAGGCAGAAAGAAGAGAAACTATTGATCAATATCACTAATAAACATTGGTAAAAAAAATCTGAATAAAATATTGACAAAGAAGCTACATAATAACCAAGTTGGATTTTTAACAAGAATGCAAGGTTTGTCCAGTATTAGGGAAACTATAGACCATATTAGTAACAAAAAACAATAAAAATCACATGATTATATTAAGAGTAATAGAAAAAGCTTTTGACAAAAAACAACATCTATTTATGGGTTGGGATTTTTTTTGATTTGTTGGTTTTGCTTTTGTCTTTTTGAGCCCTGATCTCCCTGAATTACCCACTACGGTGAATTGCACTTACAATGCCAGTGCAGGGGTCACTCCAGGGCCCAAATCCAAAACTGATTAGCACAGAGACTTTAACCTGTTCCATTTTTTCAACTCCAGCCAGTTGACTGCTCCTTAGGCAGCCTAGAGAAAGGCTCTTTATATTGATGCCATACTTAGTGTACACATCTATTTGGAGGTAGTCTTACAGCAACTCAGAACTCCTGACCTCAAGCTTCAGCCTCTCCAGCAGGAGTGTGCCATCATGCCCACTGTATTTTCAAAATTTTTAAAGCATAGGAATAAATGGATCTTTCCTTAATAAAGTAAAGAGTATCTATTTAAAACCAAGAGCTCTCATTATCTGTAAGGGAGAAACTAGTGGCTTTTCCAATAAAATCAGGGGTAAAGTAAGGAACGTCCACTATGACTACTATTATTTGATATATTTCTAGAAATGCTAGGTACAGCAATAAGACAAGAGAAAAAAAGGAAATAAACACAAAGAGAAAATAAAATTATTGCCTTTTGTAAATTATATGATTTACCAAGAGAATCCTAGAGCTTCAACTAAAACATTAATTGAAACAATAACTTTAACAAAGCAATGGATCATAAAATAAATCCATATAACTTATCAGTCTTGCTGTATATTACCAACAAAACCCAGCAGGAAGAAATATAGAAACACCATTCAGAATAACTACAAATTGTGTAAGATATTTGGGAATCCATTTTCCAACACATGAATCATATGAAAATAACTATAAAACACTTTACAGAAATAAAAAAGACACTTAAATAATAGGAGACATATTAATTGCTCATGGTTGGGATGTGCTAACATAATAAAAATTATAATAGTACCTAAATTAATTTACAAGTCTCAGTACTATACCAAACTACTAAATAGTTACTTTGTAAAACTAGAAAAAAATTGCAACAAAATTCATCTATAAGAGCAAAACATCAAGATTTTTTTCCACAGATTTATTTAATTTTTTTTTGGGGGGGGAGCAAAAACATCAAGAATTTCAAGGTAAATAATTTTTTTAATTGAGAAGGAAGAGGGCCTAGCAGTACTAGATATCAAACTATACTACAAAGCAGTAATCATCAAAACTACTTGGCACTGGTTTAAAAATAGAAAAACTGAACTGTGGAATGAGTTCACTATAGAGAAAACTGGAAAGCAATCTGGCAGAAATTAGGTTTATACCTATATCTCACATTTTATACTTCAATAAACTCCAAATAGATACATGACCTAGAAATAAAAGTTTGTGTTATAAACAAAATAGAGGAGCATGAACCAAGGTACTTTTCCCAAGTATAGGAAGGAGAAAAGTTCTTGACCAAAGTATAGAAAGGATCACAAGATAAAATAGTTAATTTTTATTACATAAAATTGAAAAGTTTTTACACAAAATTAATCAATGAGAAAGCAAGGAGTTAACTGGGGGGAATAATCTTTGCAGCAAACTTCTCTGATAAAGGTCTGATATTCAAGATATAAGGGGAACTCAGTCAAATAAATAAGAACAAGAGCCATTCCCCAATAAATAAGTCATCTAAAGATATGAACAGGCAAGGGAAGAAATCCAAGCTATTAACAACCATATGAAAAAAATGCTTCTAATCACTAATAAAAGAAATGCAAATCAAAACAACTCTGAAGTTCTACCCCACTCCCAACAGATTGGCTAAGATAACAAAAAGGGAAATGTAAATTACAGGACAGGAACACTAACATACTGTTATTGGTGCTATAAATTGTTCCAGTCATATCTGGAAAGCAATTTGGAACAGTGCCCAGAAAGTCATTAAGTTATAGTGACTATAGCAGACCCTTCAACCCAGTGATACCACTCCTATGCTTTAAGTTCAAAGAGATCAAAGAAAGAGGAATAGGACCCATACAAAAATATTTATAGCATTTCCTTTTGTTATAGCAAATAATTAGAAACTGAGAGGAAAGAAGGAGGAAGGGAGAAAGACAGGCAGGGAAGGAGGGAGGGAGGAAGGAAGGAAGGAAAGAAGGAAAAAAGGAAGGAAACAAGCATTTATTAAGTACCTGCTGTGTGCCAGGCACAATGCTAAATGCTTTACAAATATTATCTCATTTCATCTTCAAAAACAATCCTAGGAGGATAGAGGAGACAGACAGAGGTTAAGTGTCACACAGGGCCACACAGTTACTAAGTATCTATGGCCAGATTTGAACCTAGTCTTCCTGACTCCAGACCTAGCATTCTATCCCCTGCTGGAGGTGCCCATCAACTATGAAATGACTGAACAAATGATGATATATGAACAGAATGGAATGTTTGTTGCATTGTAAGAACAATGAAAAAAGATAGATCCAGAAAAGCCTAGGAAGACTTATATGAAGTAATACAGAGTGAAGTGAGAAAAAGCAAGAGAACAATTTATACAATAACTACAACATTATAAAGAAAAACTGTTGTAAAAGACATAAGAAATCTGATCAACTCCAGAAGACTGATGATAAATCATACTTCCCACCTACTGGCAGAGAGATGATAAACTAGAGGTGCAGAATGAGACTCACATTTTTCAGACATGGCCTATGTGTAGGTTTCTTTTATTTGTACTTGTTACAAGGGCAGGCTTTTTCTCCCCCAAGGAGAGGTATGGAGGGAAAGGAAGGCTAGTGATAGCAATGCCCAGGAGAAAAAAAAAAAGAAGAAATAAAGTGTTAATGGAACATTTTTAAGATGTACATACAGAAGAGAGTAAAAAGAAGTTCAGAGAGACTCAGAGAAGCAGGATAGTTTTGGAACTACAGTATTAAATTTATTATATACTTTAAAAAGAAACAAGCTATACATAATAGACTTTTAGTTTCTTATAGAATCCTCTTTTTCTGTTCTTTGTATATGGAAATGATCATGTTTCTTCATGTTTGTCAAGTTCATAAAAATAAAAAAGTTTTCTTAAAAGAAGGGTGTATGACTTATGAAAGAACTTCTTCTGTAAAGAGCTATATTAACTACATCATTAGGTCTCCCCCAAAATTGCCAATTTTGTCTGAATTATCTAGAAGCTATCACAGACTTGGCACTCTGGTCTAAAATGGAGAATTTCAGACTAGAATTTATACATATGCCATAGGGACATATACCATAGATCTTTACTACAGAAGAATATTTAATAAATAGGAAATAATGCATTAAGAATTCTGCTAATATCCTCAAATATTCCAGCATTTAAAGAAATTTTTTTTTCAAAATTCTTCTCTTGGCATTTATGCATCTTTCAAATTGTCATTGCCAAATATTATCATACAATAAAATGTTAAAATCACAAGTGGTAAAATACATCATTTACTCTTCAGTATGTGGTTATTTATGATACAATAGTTTATGTTGCATCAGGGTTTTCATTACAAAACTTGACTTGTGGAATGAGAAGAAGAGATTATTGCTTAATTCTTAAGAGTTTGTTCCAAAGACCCAGTCTTCGTAAATATTGAGTCATAGAATTTTAAAGCTGGAAGGCACCTTGGAGACAACCTATTCCCCCTTCATCATTTGACAAATGAGAAAACTGAGGTCTAGAGAAGGGACTTGACTTGCTCAATGTCATAAAGCTAATTAGTGGACAAATTGGGCCTGGAACAGGACTCTGTGTATAGAATCCTGACCTGATTCTCCTTCCGTGAGCTTAAAGAATGTAAGTTTTTCATTTCCAGTATAACTAAAAAGTATCTCCTCAGTCCTCGTTATTTGAAAACACAGTACAAATGTTTCAATTTGTATTAAGTTTATAATACAAGATGTTAATTTTTCATGTTCATTTCTTTTAAAAATAGATCATAGGACATGGAAAGGATATTCCTAGACACCCCAGCCTCAACTTTTAAATTCTGAGGCTAATCTGCACTCTAGACTGGGTCTATGCTTTCTTCAACCCTATTTGGATAGAGGATTCAGATGATGCTGATTGATAATACAAAGACACAAAAAATGCCTTTTTGGAGGAAGGTGCAACTATCTCTACAACATTCATATTTGGGGTACAATATATACAGAGATTTCATAACAAACCCTTCTCCTCTGGGCCAAAGGTGCAGAATGTGGCCATCTTATTTGTGATTTACAATTCCAGTTCTTCAATTCATCTGGCACAAAGAATGAGGATTTACATACCACAATTTCTCTCTTTATAATGAGGACCTGGGGCAGTAGGATGGGGAAGGAATGATAAAGCAGCATTAAAAGCTGAAAAGATGAGTTTATGCAGCCTAAAGAGAGCAGAGCTGGAGACAAGTTCTAAAAATGAGGTCCCAAAGTTTTGACGAAGGAGTGAAAAATGGATCCTATTCCCTTGCAATAATGTATTTAGTCCATATATGGAGACGTACAAGTTGTCCTTGATTTTATATGGGAAATCCTTGCATGTGGAAGCCCTAGTGAGAAGGAAAAGGGAGAAAGGACACATGAGAGATTGTACAATAAGATTCACTTGCCCACAGAACCAACAAAAGGCTGTCTCAAATCTTATTTTCTAGCAGCCCTTCATGGGGACTTTGGTGATTTCACATTCCAACTCTCTTCTTGGGGCTTTTCTTCTGCCACTTGAACTCATCGCGGCCTGCATAGCCTGCCAGCAACATCCATGAATTCTGCTGGACATGCTGAGATGCAGCTGCTTCTCAGCCTGCCTCTGGCTTCCATTTCAAAATGCCATTTGCTTGCCAAGGGTTAACAGTCTCCAGAAGGCTCTGGGAGAGGTCCCGTTAGGGCAGTAATCTGTGGCTGCTGCTGAAGATAAGAAGTCTCTTGTTGAACTGGGGGACCCGGAGCTGCAGAAAATCCAGAGAGGAGGGACAGCACAGATGTGAACACAAGCAACAACCTCTGCTCAGAATCCACCCTTCCCTCCCTCGCTGCACCCCCACCCCCCATTTTCCCTATGAAGGAGAAAACCAAATCCAGCTCAACACATGTGCATGAATATGTCCCTGGAGTGTCCCAGATGAAGAGAAACACAAGACCTTCCCTCCCGCAAATAAATCTCATTTGTCTCATCTTCAAGCCAGAATGAGTCACTGACAAATGCATTTATAATTGCACTGTTTCTATAAACCTGTCTGCTGATGAGTACAAACACTCTATCTACAGCTTGTGGGAAAGGAGGTTTGCCGACTAAAAATTTGACTCGAACAAGAAATGAAGAACAATAATTCCTCCAGCCCCTGCCTTCTTCCTCCCTTAAATCTTTTTTTATTATGAAAAGAATGGTTACATAAAAACAAGATCCCATAATAGTTTAAATTAGGCCCAAACATATTTTTGAACCAGAAAACAACTATTTTTAAATGACTATTTCAAGATACTTTAAGAAGCATTAGAGCAATGCAGCAAAGGAAAACGAAAAGAAATATTTTTTTAGGGGAGGAAAGGGTTTCTGGATCCATTAGTACCCGAAGTGATGATCTGATGATCAGAAGCACAAGTCCACTTGGACGTGGGCAGGCAGGTTGCTCGGCCTCTGGACTCCATCCTTCTCTTCCACAAAGCCTTCCTCCCCACCAAGAAGGCTCCTAGGATGCTAGAGCACATAGATGATGTAAGACAGGATAACCAGACCTATAATAGCGAAGAACATCAGAATGAAAATATCCAGCATGGTGGATGCTTAGGCTTCTGGGAAACCCGGGAGCTGTAGGCACTGATGCTGCAGCAAGGGAAGGAGGGAGGGAGGAAGGAAGGGAGAGAGGAGGGAGAAAGGGAGAGAGGGAGGGGGGTGAGACAGTGAGCAGGAGAAGCGGAAAGCTCCCTCCTCCCTCCCACCCCCCTGTCCTTATTCCCACCCCACTCCCTGGCTGGGGAGGGGGGTGGGATTGAGATGTCGCTGCTACTCCATCACCACCCTTTTCTTTCTCTACCCTGCTCCATGTCAGCCAATCAAAACTCCAGTGTCTAAATAACCTGGGAAATGCTAGATTTAGACAGGGTACCACAGAGGAGACATTAATTCCTCTCCAGGAATGTAGTCTCATTCATTTGTATCCACATAGCAAATTGGCATATCAGGATTTAAAGGATTTAATCTCTAGGGAATCCACCCCTCACTCCTTCTCCCTTTCTCCTCCCTGATTCCACCCTAGTCACAATTCTGGTCCTGGAAAAATACCAATAGGCTGTGACTCAATGACCAGTCCGAAAGATGGTTAGTTTGCTATATATATTAAGGCAAATAAGATATTGTGCAGGAGGGGGTTAGTTTATCATCTCTGGATCATTGATATTTAATCCACCTTCTCCAAAAATCTTTCCTTCCTTTACCTTTACTTCGGTAATGATATCTCCTTTTCCTTGGATCTTCTCAGCATTTAGGTACATTAAGTGCTCAGCTTAGCAGCATTTGGAAGCACTCTGTAAGCATTCTTAAATCTTTTATCAGTATGTTCTGTGACTCCCCCTCCTTGGAGCTAGGATCATATGCCAGATTCCCAACTGTAGGTCCTATCACTAGATGATAGATGCAAAGGGTACAGACTTCAACCCTAGAAGGGGTACACAACTGTCCTCCACCCAGTGCACCCCCCTCATCATATCCCTTCCCCACCAATGGCCGTGTCCTATCTGAAGCTCCCTGAAGGCACTAAGCTTTTAATCTAGTTTTGGTGGTACCCACACCAATCTTAGGATAGTGTATGTATGTACCATAATTTCTGGTTATACATCTTGGCTTCCAACTCCCTGAACACTTAGTTTCTCAGTCCTCTTCTTGTCACCCAAGTTGGTTTGAGGAAACATGTTTATAGCTGGGGCCAGAGTAGAATACCTTTCCCGTAGCCTGCTGAGCAGCTTTCCACCATCCTGTCATTTCCCCATACCTAGGCCGGGTCACCAAGGAATGTCCAGAGCTTCAGATCACTGCCGCTAGGAAAAAAAAAAATCCTATATTCTGCTCTCCAAGCCTCAAGAGGCAGAAGGCACCAACATCAAAACAAAGGAGGAAAATGTCCAGAGGTCAGAACATTGAGGCTTTTCACTTCCCCCAAATGATATGAAGGCAGCAAACTTGGTATGAAAACTAAACAACTTTAAAAAAAAAGAAAGAAAAAGAAAACTTTTAGTTTTAAGTCTTTTAGACTTAAATTTACATAACAGCATTTCCAAGTCAGAGAGGGCAAATGAGCAACCAACAAAAGGACACACTATTTGCCAACTGAATTTCATTCTATTAGAAAATGTTATGTGGAAGTAGAGCTAAGAAGGTGGAGTGGTAGAAACCAGTATGGTGGAGCTCCCAAATCCTGATGGGGAAATCCAGAAAAAGTCACAGTGACTTATTTCTTTAGCACAGTTTGGCATAAGGAGAGGGCCAGGGAGGTCATGGATGCTGAGGACTGGGGTCAGAACAGAAGCATGCCACCTAGGGCACTCTAGTGCCCAGGTAAAGGCTGTGTACCAGGCCAAGAGGAGATCTGAGACCCATGCCAGCACACTGGAACCAGGTGCGAACTGATAGCTTTGTCTCCCATTACTCAGTTTCAGGTCATAGACCCAGGGTGGACTGAGAAACGGACTTCTTTGGGTAGGGAGGCTCTGAATGATATACCAAGAAAAGACAAAGTTCAGAAGCCATCAATGGCAGTAGCAGCAGTGTGTCTCAGGCCTCAGAGGCAACACGAGGTCTCATTTCCAGCATCTATCCCAGCCTGCAGAGGAATAACCAGATAATCCCAACCAAAGAGGAACCTCTAATTCTGCCACTATGAACCAACAGAGCTTTCCAGCCAGATGATAAGGGTTGAATCTAACAGCAGTCTACTCTTGCTCAGACCCATATTCAGGTCAAGAATTTGCAGAGCTCAGACCAGATAGGCAGTAAACAGACTTTGCCCCGAATCAGACCATGCAGGGAATCACTGAATGTTGCAAGTCCCCTGCCTGTCACTGAGATCCTGATATAACACAATTCAATATCCCCAAAAAGCAGTCCAGACGTTCCCTGAAGAAGTATGGCAGAGCCCAGCCCTAACATTAAGTCTAAAGTCAGAAAGTAGGCTGGAAGAATAAACAATACAAAAGGAAGCCCATAATAAAGAGCTATTATGATGGCAGGGACACTCAAGATATAAACTCGGAAGAAGAGAATGACTGCAAACATCTACAAGCAAAACCTCAGAGAAAAGCATAGACTGGGCAAAAGACTCAACTAATACTCCTGGAAGAGATGAACCAAGAGTTTTTTTTTTAAGAAAAGAACCAAAAATTTTTTTAAAAATTTTATAAATGAAATGAGAGTGCTTAAGGGAAAAAATGGAAAAGAAATGAGAGTTTTGGAAGAAAGATTTGGAAAGGGAATTTTTTTGCATAAGAAGTACAAAACCATTCCCAAGCAATGAACTCCCTGAAAATTTAAATAGACCAAACAGAAGCCAATGACTCCATAAGGAAATAAGAAATATTAAAACAAAGTCAAAAGACTGAAAAAAAAATAGAAGAAAATGTTAGGTATCTCGTAGAAAAATCAACTAACCTGGAAAACAAATCAAAGAGAAAAATTTAAGAATCACTGGACTATCTGAACATCATGACAAAAGAAGAACCTAGCCATCCTATTTCAAGAAATCTTAAAATAAAACTACCTGATCTCTTAGAACAAGGGGGTGGGATAGAAATAGACAGAAATCTACTGGTCATCTCCTGAAAGAAATGCCCAAACAAAAACTCCCAGGAATATCATAACAAAAATCCAGAGTTTCCAAGTCAAAGAAAAAATACTGCAATTATTCAGAAAGCAAATTCAATTAATAAGGAGCCACAGTTAGGATCACACATGATTTAGCAGCCACTACTATAAAGGAGAAAAGAATTTGGGATACAATAATCCAGAAGGCAAAAGATAATAGCCAAAACTAACTTAACAAGGAAAACTGACTATGATGCTACAGAGATAAAAGTGGATCCTTAATGAAATAGAGGACTTCCCAAGCATTCCTGATGAAAAAACAAGAGCATGCAATAATGAAGAGAAATGTAAAAAGGTAAACATAAACAAACAATGATAAGGGACTAAACAAAGATAAAGTTATGTTCAAATATGGGGAGAAGATAAAAGGGAACAGATTAACAAATTATGGCATATAAATGTGGAATACTATTGTGCTGATATGTTATCAACATAATGACCAATAATGATTTCCAAGGACTAATGATGAAACCTGTTGGCCACCTCAATTTATGGCATATAAATGTGGAATACTATTGTGCTGATATATTATCAACATAATGACCAATAATGATTTCCAAGGACTAATGATGAAACCTGTTGGCCACCTCTTTATATAGAGGCGAAGGATTCAGAATACAGAAAAAGATAAAACAGAGTGGGGAAGGGGTAGGAATGGCCAATATGGAAATTTATTTTGATTTATAAATATATGTTTGTAATTGGCTTTGTTTTTCTTGTGTTATCAGTTGGGAGAAAGGGAATGAGAGATTAAGAAGGTGGATTTTGACTGATTAAAACAAATAAAATATTAAAAAGGTAAGAAAAAATATATAAAAATATGAATGTAGCCTTCATTATTGTTTAGCTGTTGGGGGAAGCAGAGAAAAAGTGACAATAATCATTCTTAATTTTTACATTTTTCTATGACATTTAGTTCTGTAAGAGAACCTTGAAGAAAAAAAAGGAAGATTAAGGATAAAATAGTTGGCAAGGAAAAAGCAGGAAAAAGTAAGCAGAGTAAATGGATGGCTAAAGCAAAATGGAAGAGTATTTGTCCGTAGGGCAAGTTAGTGCAGCATCTATATAGGAGATTGGTGTAAGGGGGAGAGGAGGCAGGATATAGCTGAGGAGCTGCTAAAATTAAGGAAAGGAAATTAGGTGTGGCTGCCAAGTCCCTAAGAGGGAACAGTAGGTTGTAAAGGCCCTGATGAAGTAATAAAAGGTGAAGTGTAAATACCCACAAGTATTTCTGGGGGGAAAAAAAGGCTAAAAATCTCAGTATAGAGACCATGTGGAATTTTGCAGTGACTTGCAATGAGTATATCTCTGACACAGCCAAGGGGCTGCCATATAGGATGAGGCAGATTTACCTCCTAGAAAAGAAGGTGAAGAAATTTAGCAATGCCACACTCCACATTCCAGATTAACAGGGAGAATGAAGTGTCTTCCCACCTACCCACCCCTAGAAAAGAGAAACAAAAGTCAATGAGTAAAAAAAAAGAGAGAGAGAATCTGAAGAGAATGAGAGAAAACCTCCTTAAGAGGAAGCTGGAGAAAAAAAGGATGTTATCTAGATGAGGAAGACAAGGAGAAGGACAAGTACACATAGAGTTAAAATAACAAATTCAAAGTTTTTCCTGAAGAGGATAAATCAGTTGTTAGTCCTCCAAGGAATGAAATTATAAAGTTATCAAAGTATCAGGTAAGAGGTCATCCAGGAATGTCCAGAAGAAGAAATGAAGAGTAAAGGGGGTTTGTTCTGGGATACAGAAGTAGCTATTTATCACTTGTCAATGTGATAACAGTAGAGAAGTCTATTGTCCTCCCCCAGGCATGTATTCAAGACAGAGCAGAGAATCTCCCAAGACTTTTCAAAATAGATAATGACTATGGCTTCTAATGAATCTTGAGCACAAAAGATACTGACAGAAGGAACTTTGTAAGTATTGTCTAAGATTACAAAGCCTTGGACAAGAAACTGAAAACCATAGAGATACTGGTTGGGTGTGTTTTCCTCAAAGCTGCTAATGGAAGACAAGGGATACAGAAGTGCAAAATAGGTTTTGGCAGGCTAAGAAGGTGGTATCTGTGAATGGGATTTTGATTTCTGGACCAGTACTTAAAATGTAGATATGACAGTCTCCTGGACAGGGACAGACTCTGACAAAGGATAAGAATGTATTTGTCTAACAATGCAATGACCAACCATGATTCTGGAAGACTGATGATGAGCCATGCTATCTACCTTATAGCAGAGGTAATGAATTCAAGACGCAGCCTGAGACATACATTTTT